ATTAAAACTGACACTTTATGTCCTAAAGGATAATAAAGTGATTTCTTCGGACAAATTTGAGCTAAAAGTTTACAATTCTATTGAAACGGAAGGTATGTATTTAAGTATAGGTTAAGAATCAAGGGTTCAATTCATTAAGAGTCCAATTAATGTGCATTTTTGATATATTACAGGAAACAAAGATGTTTATGTGGGCACAGAAGGGGATGCCTTCACAATGTTATGCTTCTCTAAGTTTGATTCTGACCGCGAGGCCACTGAAGCCCAGGTCTCATGGATTCACAACAATATTCGCATTGTAGACGGTTTGTCTCAATACTCAACACTATATTGTCTATGAATTGTCTTTTAAGTCTAAAATAATATTCAAATGCATGTCATATGAATTGCTGACTTAAAACAGAATAATGCATGAATTGTTGGCAAATAGCAATAATTGATGATAACTAATGAAATGACTTGAATTGAACCGAAGACAAGCACTTTACGGTTAGATCTCGAGTGGAACAGTCTGTCAGTCAGAAGACAATCAGAAGTACACTCAGCTTCAAAAGATTGATCAAAGAGAATGAAGGCGTCTATACGTGTGAATCGGTTTACGCCAACCCTCTCCTCACAGACATGAAGAGTATAGACATTAATCTCAGAGTTCAATGTAAGCCTGACTTCTCATAATTTGTCTTATGGTTAGATTGTTATACGAATTAATTTAATTGCAGTTAAGCCTCGCTTCCCAGAAAACACACCAAGAAATGTTTGGGTTTCAGATGAGACCCAATCTCCTGTCATTGTAAACGTGACATGTCTTGTGAACGCCGATCCCATCGCAGAGTTCCAATGGTTCACAGGACGTGGTTCTCCCATTGACAGAGGTAATGGTAATCGATACTTTGTTATCATTAGTTTTAACATGTAATTTGTAATAATATTGACTTATTACTGTGCAGTATATACTGTACAGTATATTATTGAATGTCATATAATGTAATATAATATTCAGTAATAAATTTTATTGATTTATAATGACTTTTTTCAGGCGGTCTGGATGTTAAGCACAGAATCATAAACACTGAGAATCTAAGTGTTACAAAGAAATGTTTGGGTTTCAGATGAGACCCAATCTCCTGTCATTGTAAACGTGACATGTCTTGTGAACGCCGACCCCATCGCAGAGTTCCAATGGTTCACAGGACGTGGTTCTCCCATTGACAGAGGTAATGGTAATCGATGCTTTGTTATCATTAGTTTTAACATGTAATTTGTAAAAATATTCACTTGTTACTGTGCAGTATATAAGTATATTATTGAATGTCATATAATGTAATATAATATTCAGTAATAAATTTTATTGATTTATAATGACTTTTTTCAGGCGGTCTGGATGTTAAGCACAGAATCATAAACACTGAGAATCTAAGTGTTTTGTCTCTTGAATACGAGAATATCGGCAAAATTGTGAACAAATTGAATGACCCGAACGGCCACTCGAGACAATTCCAGTGTAAGGCCAGGAATACCATCGGAGAAGAGAGAATCACTTTCGAGTTGAATGTCGGAAAACTTCCCGAACAACCCATTCTCGCC